TTCTTCGGCTGCTCAAGAAATACCTGTTAAGAAGAAACCGAAGATTGCTTCCGCTGCTCGCAAGGGTTCATCAACTGTTCACAAGTTTGTGATTGACTTGACTTCCTCTAAGGGCGAGAAAGAAAGAACTGCTAGATTTGTGCCGGTAACACCTATTGCTCCGAAGGCTGCTAGCTCAATTGCTGAAAGGATTGCCCAAAGAAGAAGTTCCTCCGTGCCTCCAGTGCCGAAGTTTGTGCCAAAGCGTTTGTCTAGAGCTAAGTCTGTTTGGAGAGGCTTGCTACTATGAAGAGTGACAAGGTGCCCCTGCCTACTAACGTGACGCCAAAACCTGCTTCCTCCACTGCTGCAACCAATTCGTCTTCTGATAATTAGGAAACTGCTAGTTCAGGCAGGCTTGAAGAATCCACCAAGACTGTTTCTGGGAAAGTTACTGAGATTTGCACGCTTTTGAAGCCATATCTACTTGAAGACATGGATATATGTGCCAAGTTTATTGATGGTGTCAATGAGATTGTTGGTCCAAGTCTTTTCGCAAAGAACACATTCGAGTATAGGAAGATTGCTTTGCTAGCCATAATGCAGAAAACAACAATTCTGGCAGCTGACTCTATGTTCCTTGACCAAGAGGATACCAAGGCTGCTAAAGAGATGGCAAGAACCATGGCTGCCAAAGTTTACTCCTCGGTCAAAAAAATTAGGAAATTGGAATCTAAGCTTGCTGCTTTGAAGAGATATAACATTTCTGCTCCCACTTCTCTGCAACTTGAGGCCCCTGCTTACCAAGAGATCATGGTTTTGAAGACTAGGCTTTATACAATCCAAGTAGAGTACGAAAGTGCAGAGAAGGAAATCGAGGGTTACATACCTCAAATTCAAGATCTTGAGCGTTGCATCTCTGAATTCCGCTCCGCTGCTTATGCAAAGGATGAAGAATTGATCGCTGCTTACAACCAATTGATCCATTTCAAAAAGGTTGTTGATAGGCTTGAGCCTCAGGTGTTGGAACTTCAAAGTGCTTTTGAATATCAACGACAATTTGAAGAAGGAAATTGAGGAGTTGCATTGGGTTAGTGCTTGCCTGCTTGAGGATAATGAGCAGTTGAAGGGTGAGAAGGTTGGGTTCGAGGCTTCGCTTACTCAGAGTCAAGCCGATTTCTACAAGCTGGGTTATGTAGACCATCTCTATGGGCGACCGTCTGACTTTGAGTTTTTCAGAAAAGACTTATAGACTTTCTTTATTTCTCCGAAAGACTTGCTCGCTTTTACTTTTGAGTCTTCTATCGATGAAGTAGTTGGAGAAGTTGGTGCCCAGGCTGGGGCAGCCGAGGGTAAAGCGCCGGATGATGCCGCTTTCGAGAACATCAAGGCTGCTGAAGGTGTGGCGACCGAGTAGTCGTGAGATGTCCAAGCTATTTGAAGAGTAGTCTTCTAGGTAGCCTTTAGGATTTTCTTTGTTTTCCTTTGTTGACTTTGCTTGAACTCCTTCGGTATTTGCTAGTTGTTTATCGATTTTGCTAGAAAATTTAATAAACCTGCTTTCTTTACTTTTCTCCATCTTTGCTTCTTTTTATCCATGCCCTAACCTTTAGACCTTATAGACCAGTGGCAGATGTGCTACTTTTCTATAAGTAGATAGGCCTGTGTAGCCTACACAGCCGTAGGTGTTGGTGTATAACTTTTGCAAAGTTGTTAGCCATAGGGTTGGTAGCCGGATGCCTTACTTACAGAAGCAGATGATTCCACGTAACCACTAGGCTGTTAACCTTGGCTTTTTCCAATTACGTGGGTTGTGTAGCAAGTATCACAACACTTTAGGACTTGGTGTAGGTTGTTCTGTGCTTAGCAAAGGTGAAGCTTATCGACTATGTAATGTGTCAGTAATGGATAAAATATTTGTGTATGCAGGCTAGATTGTTTAACCTTTCGTAATAATGTGCGGTTGCATAAGTCTAGCATGGTTTTATTGCTCGAAGGGCAAGTCGTAGGCAGTCTTCCGGAAATCCGTAGGCTACCTTAGTGCACTCGGTAGTAGCTTTAGGTTTCCAGGACAGCCACCCGTAGGGTGTACTGCGTAATGTGCCCTATCCGTTTCTAGGGCCCGGTTCCCTACGGATTAGGCTAAGAGACCCAAAATCCTTTAACTAGCTAAGCCTTGAAAAATACCATTGTGGCTACTTCTATTAATCCCGACGCAAGCCATCATGCATCTAGTTATACTAGGGTAACCAGGCTCATCCACGTCTAGATATTCGGAGTGTTGAGTTTATCCTCCCGCCTTGGAGAGCATGGTTGGTCCCTCGGGGGGTGCAATTCCTGCGTTGAGTCCTAAAATGAGGTGCGATCTTCTTTTGAAGTGCAGGAAAGATAAGTTGTTGTAGACATGTAGTCGAGCCAAGTTGCAAATTACTTCTGAATTCTTTATTGAAAAATAAACAAAATGAACGAATAACTTAACTGTAAAAGATTGCATAATGACTAGATAGTCCTCGGCTTACGAGGTGGTGCCCGTTGAGCTGCTTGAGTCTTCGGGTCTTGATATAGTAGGAAGTCACACATGGTATTTCCTCAAATTGTAGGCGTTCCATTGCTTCTCGATCTCTTTGTCATTCATGGTGGCGATGGTGTAGTTACCCTTGCCGCCCACTCTGCTGATCTTGTAATGACCTTCCTAGATAGGATCCATTTTTTTTTAGCATTCTCTGCGGGCAGTGATGAATGCCTTTTTTAGGACTACATCTCTTAGTTGAAACTGCCGGATCTTGGCCATTTATTATAGCTGGAAAGGAGTTGATGCTGGTAGGCTGCAATGCGGGTGATGGTTTGTTCGCGCCTCTCTTCTGCCGGATCCAAGTTTGTGGCCATCTCTTTACTGTTCTGCTCAATACTTGGCAGTAGAGTATTGATGCTTGGCACGATGATGTTGGGAGGAATGATTGCTTCCGAACCAAATGCCAAAGAGAAAGGAGTCTCATTGATCGCTCTTCCTTTTGTGGTGCGATATGCCCATAAACATCCAGGGAGTTCATCTGGCCATTTTCCTTTTTTGTCCGTGGGGGATTTCTTGAGGCAATCGAGGATCATCTTGTTGAATGCTTCGGCATGCCCATAGCCTTGAGGATATCTTAGCGTGGACATGTGTTGTTTGATGCCATACTTTTGGAAGAACTTTGCCAAATCTTTTTCGACAAAATGCGGGCCATTGTCGGTGATGATGGACTGAGGGATGCCAAATCAGTAAATGATGTTCCTCCATATGAAGCGCTCTATGTTCGTCTGAGTCGTGGTCATCATGGGTTATGCTTATACCCATTTGGTGAAGTAATCGGTTGCCACGATCATCATGCATCTGCCCCCAGTAGCAGGCATCATAGGCCCTACCAGGTCGATTGCCCACTGCATGAATGGTTAAGGACTCGTCTGTGGGTGTAGTTCCCTAGCAAGCAATGCTTATGTCAGTTTGTAGTGTTGGCAGCGATCGCACTTTTGTACTTACTCCTTAGCATCTTGGTGCATGGTAGGCCAATAGTAACCTGCGTTAAGAGCCTATGTGCTAAGGATCGGCCTCCGGAGTGATTCCCACAAACGCCTTCATGGATTAAGCTTAGAACCTTCAAGTCATTGGGATGTGCTAGGCAGCGAAGATGCGGTCTGGTGTAGGATCTTCGGACAAGAATGTCATTCCACATATAGTAGCGTGCCGCCTTGATTTGGAGCATCCTTGACTCCAATCTTTTGGTGGTAGTGTGCCGGTGACCAAGCAGTCTACAATAGAACTTTACCAGTTGAGAGTTATACTAACCTATGACACTTCGGCTGTCGGCTCCATCTCTATGCTTGGCTTGTCTAGATATTCCACTGGAATGGAACGTTTAAATTGGTGGTCGAGGGCGGAGCCTAAACCGGCTAGCGCATTTGCATGGGCGTTGTCTGCCCGCGGAACTTGAGTGAGAGTGTAAGTCTGAAATGCCTCAAGCTGTTTTCTCTAGGCATTGTGCCATCCTTGGGTGTTTTGTCGTGTATTCCTCTGTAGCTTGGCTGGTGGTTAGTTGGGAATCAGAATGAATTGCGAGCTTCTTCACTGCCAAGTCTTTTGCCATTCGGAGGCCTGCTAGTAGGGCCTCGTACTTTGCTTCATTATTGGATGCTTTGAAACCTAAAGTGATCGCCTGCTCGAGCATTGAGCCGTCTGGAGTAACAAGGACCACGCCTCATCCCGAACCTTTGTTGTTGGATACGCCGTCAACATGCAAATGCCAGAAATCTTCGCTTGGGGGTGTAAGCATGGCTAAGGCTAAGGTGTGTTCGATTTCAGGAGTATTGCTAGGTTGCTCTGTTGCATCGCCTAGGCTAGGTGCAAATTCTGCTAAGGCTTGGGCCTTTATCGTTGTGCGAGGTCGGAAAACTAAACCATATTGGCCAAGTTCCAATGCCCATTTCATCACTCATTGAGAAGCGTCTAGACCATGTAAGATTGATCGTAGAGGATACTGAGTCATGACAATGACTGTATAAACTTGAAAGTATGGTCTGAGCTTCCGAGCCGCAACAACTAATGCCAAAATTTATTTTTTGATCTTCGGATATCTTGTTTTCGCATCGAGAAGAGCTTTAGAAGTGTAGAATACCAGTAGTTGGGCCTCCAGCTCTTTTTGTATGAGGGCAGAGCTCACTGCTACTTCGGAGACTGCCAAGTAAATGTATAAATCCTCTGCTGCTTCCAGCTTGGATAGTAAGAGAGGTGATGTGAGATACTTCTTTAAGTCTTGGAAAGCTTTTTCACACTCTTCATCCCATTTGTCTCGTTGTGCCCTTTTAATAGCTTTGAAAAAAAGCTTGCATTGATTGGTGGATCGTGAGAGGAAACGGTTGAGGGCAGCTGCTCGTCTGGTTAGGCTTTGGATTTCATTCAAGGTAGTTGGAGACTTCATCTCTAGGATTGCTCGGATTTGCTTGGGATGTGCTTCAATTCCTCGTTGGGTAACTAAGTACCTTAGGAATCAACCTGAAGATACTCCAAACGTGCATTTGGTAGGATTGAGCTTCATTTTGTACTTTCTAAGGATATTGAAAGTTTCTGCCAAATTGCGAATGTGATCTGACTGCTGCTTGCCCTTTATCATGATATCATCAGCATAGACCTCTATAGTTACCCCAATTTACTTCTTGAACATCATATTTACTAGCCTTTGGTAAGTGGCTCCCGCGTTCTTAAGGCCAAAGGGCATAACCTTGTAGCAGTAGGTACCCTGCTCGATCACAAACGCGGTTTTCTCCTTGTCGGGCTCATACATGGCTATTTGGTTGTAGCTGGAGTATGCGTCTAAAAAGCTAAGCAGTTGGTTCCTAGAAGTTGAATCCACTAACAGATTAATCTAATGGATAGGATAAGGATCTTTTGGGCATGCTTTGTTGAGGTCGGTGTAGTCTACGCAAACCCTCCATTTGCCCTTCTCTTTCTTCATGACTAGTACGACATTGGTAAGCCATGCCGAGTGTGCTAGCTCTTTTATGAATCCAGCTTCCAATAGTTTGTCGATTTTTACCTCAATGATTGCTACTTGTTCATGTGCGAAATGCCTTCTCATTTGGATTACCGGTTTGGCAGTGGGGTCAACATACAGCTTCTGGCAGGCCACCTTAGGGTCAATGCCAGGCATGTCAGATAGTGACCATGCGAAGAAGTCTCGGTTTTCTCTAAGGAAAATCGTTAGTTCTTCTTTCTCGGTTGGGCTTAATCGTGAGCCAATTTTAGCCATCTTTTTCGGTTGCTGGGTATCAAGAATGATGTCTTCGGCATCTTCTTCGGGTTTCCACCCTATCTCGTTTGCTTGGGCATCATCTTCTCGATCGACCTACTGTAATTACTATTTGGTAGCCTATTTGTCATTTTGGACTTCGGTAATCTCTATGGAGGTAAATGTCTTCTTCTTTGATTCTTTCAACATTTGCACAGTGCATTGTTGGGATGAAACCTGGTCAGACTTGATCTCTCAAACTCCTCCTCCAAGGATGCGGAATCAGATTTTTTGATACTTGACGGAAGTGACGTCATGTAGCTTGATCAACCAAGGTTTCCCAAGAATCCCATTGTAGGGAGATGGATCACTTACGATCATGAACATTTGCTTTGAGACGACTGGCAGTGTTTTCACGTTAAGTATGATGTGGTCGATGACAGTTAAGGTGTATCTGTTGAATCCGGTAATTACATCTGCTCGACATATGATTGTGCTTTCTAGGCCTATATTCTGAATGACTGAGAGTTAAAGTAGGTTGACTGCACTTCCATTGTCAACCATCATTCTGTCAACTATAGCATGGGCTAGTTGGACAGATACTACTAGTGCATTATCGTGTGGGAAATTGATGCCTTCTGCATCCTGCTCAGTGAAGCCAATAATGGGTCCAGGTTAGGTATTGACTGCTTGGACTTGTGAGATTAGTAAAGCATGCTGGATCTAGGTTGGCGGCTCCTTATCACCGTCTGCATTCTTTCTTGGCTACGCAACTGGCTTGTCTAAGTATCTATCGACTTTGCCTTCTTTCACGAGCTTCTATAGGTAGTTCTTCCAAGTGTAGCAGTCGTCGGTTATGTGACCAGGATCTCGGTGGAATGTACAATACTTGGTGTGGTCTAACTTGGAAGTATCTCTTTTTTATTGTTTCTGCAGCTTGAACTATGGCTCGTTCTTAATGTCACGAAGGATTTGATGAATCAGAATTGAGAACTTAGAATAGTTCTTGGTTATCGGGCCTTCTTTAGTCGTAGGTCGGTCCCTGCGCTTGGCCTCCTACCTACCCTTACTGGGCTGCTTCCCGTCCTCTTTCCTTTGATCATCTTCGGACTCTATTCGAGGCTGCTCGAGTGCCTTTTTTGCTCGTCAAGCCTCGTCCCAAAGTGCATGCTTCTCTACCAGGGAAAAATAATTTGCTAGAGTTAGGTCTTCTTTCATGATCATTTCTCTGAACAGTGGGTGGTCTACTGGGAGTCCTTTTTAGAAGGCTGCATTTACTATCGAGTCATCACATCGTATGATCTTTGCCTTCTCTGCTTTGAATCTCTTCACGTAGTTGCGAAGTGACTCCTTTGGATTTTTCTTTACGTTGAACAAGTGATAGGACTTTTTCTTGATCGAGCGGTAAGATGAGTATTCTTTTGTGAAAACCAAGGAAAGATCATCAAAATTCTTGATGGACCGCGATGGCAAGGTATGAAACCAATCTTATGCCTCACCTTGTAGAGTGGTGGCAATATTTTGCACATAAGGGCGTCATTGTTCTGATAAAGGACCATCGCGCTTTAGTAGTTCTCCAAGTGCCTTTCTGGATCTCCATCTCTTTTGAAAGATGTGAAGTGCGGCATTCTAAACTTGCGTGGAGGTTCAGCTTGCTCGATCTCGTCCGTGAAAGGTGACATACTTATGTTGGTCATATCCCGCCTTAGCGCTTCAACAGCCATTTCGTTGCATCGGAAATCACATATCCGTTCATTGAAAAGTCTTTCTACCTTTTCTTGGATTTGCCTTTGTTGGGGTAGCGGAGCTCTCGGCTACCCCTGGTCTTAACCTGCCGGTCTAAGTTGCTCTTCTACATGCTCGGCTCATCTATGTTGTGGCTGTGGTGTATGAGATAGGTTCCTAGCAGGCGAATGATTTCTTTGCAGGCTTCCGGTTGAACTAGAGCCAGATTGAATGACGGCTTCCGTCCATTCCTCAGGTTGCCTGCTCCAATGTGATGTGGAGGATGCTCATTGCGGGCCTAACCACGAATGAACGTTTTGCCTAGAAGGCTGCCTATGTTGATTATCGAAGCGTGGCCCCAACCATGAATGTATACTTGCCCATGGGCGTAGTTGAGAGTGCACGTTCCTCCGTGCGCTAAGACAGGAGTATACGTTATCTCGGGGGCCCAATCAGGAGTGTGCACTGCCTGAATGCTCGGTTTGTGGTTGGTTGAGCGGCTGCTTCCCAGGACGCTGCTTGAAAGGTTCCTCGTCTGCCCTTGTCCTACTTCAGGACCCCTCATCTGGGGCATGGTAGATCTCGGTGCGTTGCAAAAGTTGATTCACCAAGGTTGTTTGTTGTGCAAGGGTGCTCGTTAACTCTATGACTTGTCGAGACAAGTGTTGTTCACCATTTGGATTGGAAGAGCTTGGATGGAAAGTGCCTCATTGAGCAATGGAAGAGTAGTAAACTCCGGGTACAAGATTTGAGTTGGGAAATGTCAAATCCGCGGAGAAATGCGGTGTAAATGCCAGCGGCTCGACAATTGGTCCGGATGGGTGAGATAATCTCGGACTGGCCTGGGCTGCTTGGGAAGCCATGAGAGCAGGCTGAGCAGGCTGGATCACGGGAGCAGGCTAGGTTACAGGAGCAGGCTGGGTCGCGGGAGCAAGCTGGGCGAGGGAGCAGGCTGCTCAATGCGTGGTGCATGCGAATGCGAGGCTTGGGCTCAGGCCCATGCAAGCTTGGATGAAGTGGCTTGGTGTTGGAAATGTGCCCTAAAACCAATCATATGATGATACTTTACGGACATTTCACATGTTAAACTAATCTAGTTTAATATCAAGGGCATAGATTATTGTTTTAAGCCGTCTCATATAAATGTTATATGCTTAAACGATAAGTCCAAGGAATATGTAATTAGGAGAATGTAATTTAAACAAGTTAGATTAATGAGACCATTCTCTTTCGTATACATATCCTAAACGTTCCTGAATATAGGATTGCCAATTGGGCATTGACAATCCGTTAAGATCAGTACATGCTATGTCTTCTCTTAGGGAGAGTGACTAGTCTCGAGTCATTGGTGTAATTGACACCAAGACAAGCATGTAGGTGCTCAATAGCGAATGAGTCCACTGAACACAATCAACGAGGAGTTCTCATACTCATGTCACATGAGAACTCATGGTTGGGATAATGCACAGTAGTCCTTTGACCTGAGGCATCATAGTTGTCTTGTGGTTAGGTCCTTGATCTTTGATTATGTCAAAGTCACTTCATTCGCGGGTGTCCACGGCATAGTTGGGGTTAAGCCACTTAGCCATGGAGGTAAGTGAATGCGCAACAAGGGATCTCTAACCTTCAAACCGTTTGAAGGAGAATACTATATGATATGATTAAGAATCTCAGGCCAGAGTATGAATGAGATTTAGGAAGTCATTCCAAATCACATTCAAGGTAATCATATAAGTAAATGAATCACATTGGATAGTAGACATGAATAAACTATCAAACCAAACAATGTGGTCAAGAGTATTGTATTAGAGAAAGACCGTATTGCATTGTAATCCTAAACTGAATAGGTTCTCCACCTCTTCTGATTAGCTTGGGTAACCATGATATGCTGCTAGGTATCACTCATGGTTTGTGGAAGCCCTAAACGTGTATAAACACTAAAGGGAGAATTGAAAGTAAGTTTCAATTCACAATCGATTTGAAAGAGTTTTAATCGCCCACTGCCTCGCTAAAAGGAACCTAATGGATCGTACACCGTGTAAGGTAGAGATTCAAGAAACAACGGAGATGAGTAAGAATAATTAAATGGTTTAATTATTTATGGCAAGGATTAATTAATATGTTAATTAATCAAACGAATAAAGTTCGTTAAAAGACCACGGGTTAGTTTTGGGCCTCAAGGCCCAATGGGCTTCAAACGTCAAGCCCATTGACTTAAGTTGTATGACAACTTAATGACAAATAATTCACAAAGGCCTTAAAAGCCCAATGAAACCCTATGGCCGGCCATTTTGTTAAAGGAGTGGGTTTTGAACTTAATTACAAGTTTGCCACTCCAATGAATAAAGGTATAAATATGACTTTATAGCCAAAATTCATTTAGGATTTCTTTTAGAGAATTGGAGAGAACATATCTCTCTCTTTTCTCTCTAAGAGGCCGGCCCCCTTGGAGGGATTAGCTAGTAATCTTTCTCCTCCAAGGTCACTCATCACTTCTTCACATCTTACCTTGGTGTGGAAACTTAGAGGTTCTCTATTTTGAGAACTTGGAGAAACATATTCTTCCATCCAAATCCATGGATCTAAGAAGCAAGGAATGAAGGCCCTCTCCTAGGGTGATTAGCCTTTGCTTATGCAAAGAGGAATCTACAAAGGTATAAATTTCTCAACTCACTTTGATTTGAGTTGAGTCTTGGTTCACCAATCTACTAGGCTTTGAATTTCATGGTTAATGTTTTGTTTTAAGTGCATACAAGCATGATTCCGCCTTTTAATTGTTAATTGCATGCTATAGATGTTGCTTAAATGAACATGTTTTTCACAAAATTTCCTTCACTTGGGCCATGGTGGAACCTCGTAGTGGTGGTGTCACTTTGCTTATGACCGCATTTTGCCCCGTGGATCTCCGCAATCCCATCTCTTGAGTATTGGAATTTTCACTTATGGAATTTTCTAAATTTCTAGCCATTATATTTTTCTTATACGTTTTACCAAAGAACCTTTGCAAGTAAAAAATTCTAATAATAAGAACTTATGAAAAATATTCAAATGGACTAGAAAATAGAGAAAAAACCTTTTTATGTGGGAGTCTTCTACGAGTATGGATAACAACTCTCAATGAAAGCACCAATTTGTGGATACAAATTTCTTCCTCCTTGATCTTGGACAAAATTACACCTACAAAACAATTAACACCTTAGGTCAAGGCCAAGAGCCTTATGCGCCCACGATGAATGGAGGGGGGCTTTGGCTGAGGAACCTCCGATGCCAAAGTTAGAATTTAGCGAGAAAAAGTG